GGTGGAACACTACCAATTTTAAATATACTTACTGTGCACAAAGCAGTTATTGTACTACTGTGGAACGTAACTTGCGTTCTCTCATGCGCCATTCTCCGATCAATATTTCAAATCTCTACATCACTCTTGATAGTAATCCTGGTGAGTTATCTACCATTGCTTTCATCGTTTCTGGTGAGTCCAGAAGATCGGCTGTAAGATTTTACACACTTCAGAACATTGTTAGCTTCTTCACTTGCCACGGTGCTCCTTCAAAGCATACGTTTTGTTAATCTGTCACTTATTTGTGTGTCTTCAAACGTGAACCTCCCGTAGGTAATTCGAATCAAGTCCGGATAGAAGTTTTGTATATTTTATATTATTCACATTTTCACATACGTCTGAATCCAGACTGTGTGTCAGGCAAATCATGGTACAATAATCTTTGTCGGCGGAATACTGTCAGATTGCCCGGACCATTGCAGGTGAATTTTTTCTGAGGCATTCACAACCGAAGCCGTCGGCTAGCCAAAGCCTGACCCGCAAGTCAGCGGGGCTGTGTGCAGAAACCCCATCCATTGCGAGCCGGTGCCCAGTTCAACGGATCATATGCTTTTTAGACGGGGTCAAACGTCCTGAGTGCCCCATACACCCCGATGCCCAGTCGCGCCGGTGATCACCGCCACAACCAGGAAGTTGTGTGTGTGTGTGTGTGTGTGTGTGTGTGTGTGTGATTCATACGCCCTCTCATAGTTTGTTTGGAATCAGGGTGTTTGGCCAACTCCCCTAGGTGAACACTACCAGTAGTTCACCAACCCAGTTGTAGCCCTGGATGTCGAATTTTCGTTCTCTCGCTTTGGTGGGAAAACACCTCCGCCACGCGAAGGTAGTGAGTAGGGATTCCTCAGAAAAGGCTATTCGAGACGCTTTGTCCTCTGGGAGCATTTTGCGAGTTGCAAGGGAACGGTGACCAGCTGCAACCCTAGACACCCACCCACGTTGGTATATGATAAATACAATCACAAATCCTTACGAGGAACAGTGCATGTATACGGTAACGTCATCAGCCCAATATGATGAAATTAATTAATTAATTAATTCCGTGAAAACTTCACCTGTTATCCCTCATTTCGTTATGATATGTGCTGTTCTCAAATTAGTATTCACCTACAGTCCAGGTGAACCGTCTGGAACAGGTTACACAGGTTTACAGAGGAGGCTTAGCGAGCAGGAAATGAGTTGACTGTCAAATCTGTGAACTGTTACTGTAAAAGAAAGACAGTTTCGGTTCTTCACAGTGGTCTTATTGCACATGCAAACAATCCGACACAAATGGTTTCATGCATCCTGTTTTACACGTCTGCCAGAAGGTAGAATAGTGTCACGGGGTGATTGATGTTCACCTAAATCCAACACCATGGAGAAACGAGAACCAAGAAGGAGTGCTACTATTCTTTCTTCTTAAGTCAATCTTTGTGAATCCAATCAGTTTGTGTTCTCTGATGGTCCTTCTATTGTAGACCTGGTCGCCTGACCCCCGTCGCTAATCGAGCAAACAAAGAAAAATGTAAATATTTACTTTTCAGAATCCAAAAATCACTTTAACTCCGTTGATAACAACAATACGGTAACACACTATCCCGCCATATCTGGTAAAGTGCGTGGAGGACCGTTTCACTGGCAGACGTCAATTCGCTTGCCTAATCTGTCCATGTGAACCAATGGCTTAACTTTTAAGCCCTTTTTTTAATCTCTCTCTCTTTCTATCACTTATCTCAACTATTTTCAGATTTAAGTATGCCGACAAACTAGTGGTCAGCGGGGCTGCATCCAGCGGCACACCTTACCGTAAATCCTCTGAATCAGTCATAGGTTGCAGATCTGAATTTACTTGAAGGTGTAAATATTTCCCCATACTCAACCATATCTGTGTAATAAAGCTTTGTTCTCCTATTAACCCATTTCCAACATATTCGATACGAAATCAAACTTGTAAAGAACCCAGCACTTCAAAGGCCTTTGATTTTTCTGTCTTCTAATCACAAGCAATCGTACCACGTGCAGCAAGCCTTCCTCAAAACTGGAAAGCTGTTTCACATTACACGCTTCCATATATGAGACTGCCAGTGTATACGATTTTGAAACGTATTTTCCGGTCATCGAACTAACTATTGCCCCGGATTACTGTCTAAGGATTTCGTACTGAACGGACAATCTACTTACTGTATCTCTAGATGTGGAGGCGACCCTTATGTGGCGAAGTAGGACTCCATTGTCAGCCAACACCTTTAGATGTTTGACTCAATCCTGGCTCATTCATTGTATTCTTTACATTCAACCCAGTTTGGCTCCATTTTTCCATCTGTCACTCACAATTATTCTGTTGTATCCTATTTTTTGGTTCACAGGGAGCGCACATCAAATGAACTGAAATATAATATCATGTAATTCAGGCTATAGGTTGTATTTTCACTAGGCTTTCTTCATCCTTATCATTGTCACCTAATTACTGAATGTCATATCTTTATGTCCATTTTATTTTCATTTAAGTCAAAGCTAAAAAGATAACGTTTTTCCCGCTGAACATTCGGATCCCAATGGGTAAATAAACTGCATTCTTGACTTGGCTTGACTTAATTATCTAGAGTCGTTTTTTGACCGTTGTGGGCAGTACTTAGTTATCTCCAACACTCTAACAACAGACATTTCAAATGAATATATACGCGGAAACTTCATTTGCTGCATTCCATAGAAGGCTTGCAAAAAAGTATGGTAACAGCCTTGTTAAATAAAAAAACGAATAGCCATTTATGGGAGAACAGGGTTGTGATGAGGTCGAGTGTCTACCTTGGTTAAGACCCACATTTATCTCTATGCAAAAGTTTACCACAATCTCGAGCTGTCCAAACTAAGAGGTCTACCGTAACCCATATGACGGAATCCCCTGTTCCGGGTTTCGCCTCTAACCCCTTGTCTTTTTTCATCCAAGCCAGTACGCTGTGACAATACATTTGATGACATACCGTACATGAGTCATAAGAATGAATGTAAAAGAAATTAAACAGCCATAGAAACAGTAGTTTTACGGGCACTATTCTTAGGAAAGTAACGGACTATCACATCCTTTCATTCCGTCCTCACTGAGAACAAGCTCGACGTATCGTTTTTATGTAAACAGCAAGTTTTGGAATACATGTCTGCGTGAGTCTAGAAGAGTGCAAGTTTCACCAAACCTTATGTTTTTGTCCAAGCAAATTNATAAAAATTTGTATGATGCTTTTATGCGTTTTACACAAGGTTGTGAATCCGACTGTAGTTTTATCCTTTGCCCATCGTATGCTCTTCGACATTAACTACAAGGTACATGTCTGTTTCGTTGTCTAATTAACTCTTTCGATAGCATGATATTTTAGAAGTTAATACGGAGTTCTTTGTTCGAATCTGGCCGGGGTCAGGACCGGCAAAATATCGTCAAAAGCGTGTAAAAAAGGTCACAGAAAAGTTTACTGCGCATAAATGAGGCTTATTTAAGTGTGCTGTTATTTCTTTATCAATATTACCTATTTATCCGGACAAATCCTATAGTACAATATTCATATGATAAATTGGAGTTTGCACATTGTGAACGGAGCGTGAACTGAAATACTGGGCGGCCATGTTGCTCTGTCTGGTTAAATCTCATCAGTCGCGCGAATTCATCATCGCAACTGACGATCAAACGTGGAATCTTGCAGGCAAAACACGTGCATGTTACCCTCGAGACCACCGAGCAGAATCCAGACTGAATGTTTCACTTCAAAATAAAATTATTATTCATTAGAATTTTAAAACAGTTTTCCAAACCTAGGTCTTCCAATGCACACCTCACACGAACTCCACTTATTGAAATTAACATGCTCTTCACGAGTTCATAGCGTACAAATATACGTTTATTGGTACGTTCCGACTGTACTGTAACACCAAAATCAAGCTAAGTACTTTCCGTTTAATAAATGCATTCTACTGTTTGTCTATTCTGGACTGATACCATGAAAGAATAGCAAATTACTTGTGCTTCTGTTTCGGAGCAAGCAATCCAGAAATGGGTTTTCAATGAAAAACAAAGAAAGAAATTCTCTTACCCGATGTTTGTTTATCAGGCAAATGATCAAAGTGAAAAAACATACATGCACACTAGAGTTGGGCATGGCCTAGAAGAGCAAAATTGTGAACCCAAAATCTACGGATGATGGTAGCAACCCTTCCGGGTGTGTAGTTTTGATCAGTTTTCGCACAACAAATGATTGACTTCATTCTCCTCCTGGAAGCATTCTCTCATCAAAAACGAATAGTCAAAGTGGTCTGAAAAATATGCGTGAATTAAGTGGTATCAGGATTGCACCAACAATTGTGTAAATTCGGAAAAGAGGTGCTTGTATTCGTATCAAGATTTTGTCCACATTGAACACAGTGTGTATTCCCTATTTCCATTGTTTTCTTTTCATAGCTATTTGTTCACACACACCCACGTGTATCGTGTATTATGCATAATAATATAGGGACTAATTCGGACAAATCTAACGATGCATACAACAATCGCGGTGAAATAATTCTACCCAAAACCTCTGTCCTTGTTTCCTTGTAGATCGTGGCAGAGTACATTACAGTACAACGGAAATGCATAATCTATAAAAACGTTGTTTTTTTATAACCCCTCACAGATATATTTTCATACGATTTGCCCTTTTTGCTGTGTGTATTGACCTTAGGAGCGTAGTATTTGGCTGGCTAGTGAGCGGGAACATGCGAATTTGGATCGACCAATCAGAGAACAGAAAATTTGGGATAATCTGTTGGCGGTCCACACGCCAATCGCCAATGCTCATTCCATGCGTGACAGCGAAAAACGTCCAACCTGAATGTGTAGTTTGTGCTACTCACACGCAGGCGCTCACAGGATCAATCAATGGTTCAACAAAATCCGTCCTCAGTTGCGATGTGTGCTCCGTGAACACCTTAGTCGATCAGGTACGGTTGAGATAATGGAACACATGTGTGACTTAGATCCCGCTAACAATCACCACGATTCTCAAAACACCATAGAATCAAAGGACACCAGTGATCCACCAGTTACACCGGAACTATGTCCTCTCTGTCATCTGATACGTCGAGATTTGGCCGAACTAAATCATCGTACGCGACTACTCGAAAAAAGCGCGACCCTGTCGGGGATTTATCCCGAGACCATACATCGATGTCAAAACAACGCCATGACAGTTGGAAACACACGTGTTCAAAGAAATCCTGCCTTTGGTGCCGCACACAGCAAACACGATGCCCAACAAATATCACAGATTTTATGCGATGAGCTGCGTCGATTCTGTGAGAACACTACCATCCGCGGTTTACCCCGCATAGTCCGTGCACATAATCGTTCCCTACGTCTACTCTGGTCCACTTTGGTATGCATCCTCGTCCTAGGCTGTTTCATTTGTATGTTTTTCTTGGCCCGACAATATCTGGAATACAATGTGATCCATCCACCTCGTGTGCTACGACACACATCCAGCCCGTTTCCCGCAGTAACTGTGTGCAATCTGAGACCTATTTCACCGGACGGAATGCGCTACATGCGCGCGAAAGGATGGAAAACACCGAGACAATTTGTGCAAGATTTCGCGTACTATGCACAGCATCTGTATTTTGAGAATAAGCGTTACGCAGAATACAGTGCCGCCTCAGCAGCGTTTTCTTTGGCCGGTTTCCTGGAGAGTATCCCCAACGATACAGAACGTCAAAAGCTTGGATATCAGAATGATAAACTGGTAACCAAGTGTCAAGTGAGTGTAAATAGATTTAATTCATTCATTCATTCATCCTTGAGTTCTACCCACCATTCGTCCAACACTCAATCGTAAAAGTGTACATTTTTAGATAATAACAACTGTGTAAATGATGTGGTCGAAATGTGTGAAGCAAACTCATTCCATTGGTCAAGTTTTGCACAATCTGAAAATGAGCATTTTAGCTGGTAAAACCAAAGTAACTGTATTCAAGAGCATTTCATCATCATGGTTTACGGCTCAATAACTGCCTCATCAGTTTATAATTCGCCTCGCGTTGACAACACTGGATTGATTGGGCCTTTCACCGTTTAGTGCCGAAAAATGACATGCAGGATAGTATAGTGTGTCCATACAAGAACTGTTGTATCGCCATCGTAAAATTAGAACCAAACAGTGCCGATATTTTTTTCAAACTTCCGGTTTTATTTATTGTTATTTAACCGACAACAGACATGAGCATGGCTTCTGTTTACCACCGAGAGTCTGACTTAATTACGTGCACAATTTTGAGCTCTGGATCCACAATTTAGCTGAGTAAATTATTCCTTGACCGGTTTAACAATTCTCCGGGTGTAAATAGCAAATTTGCTCAGGATTTATTATATATAAAGGCATAAGGCGATCGATTCTAGGAGATGAAGTGCTAGGATTCGGCTTTTTGGGCTGTTTTACAAAACGAATTCACAGAGATTTGTTTTTCCACCATAATCGCACAAAATAATGTTTGAACCAATTGGCCTCATGGTTAACGAAGACTATTCCGGGTTTTTATTCATGCTGGCTTATCTACGGCGTGCTAAACACATTTAAATAGTCAGGAACGATTGTTTATGGGAAAACGATTTGATGTACGTTTTCATGGCGGATGCCGGAGGGAAGATTTATACGCGCAAATGACCAAGACAAGCCCCAGAAGGCATCAAACAAAGCATGGTACGGCTAAATGTTTTGCTTCAGATCTAAAGTTGACTGAGAAAGCCATCCTGAATCGCTTACAGTCATTTGTCATCATTCCCCAATGATCCTCTTCAGGTCGCGTCAAAAACCCAACAAATCCACTTTGGATGCTGTGTCTACCCTGATCCACTTTTTAGGGCAAGTAATTGAACAGTTCTGACAAATCTGTTCGTTGCGTTTTTCTCGATTATTCGTCTGCTTTTGATTCTGCTTCCCGGTCATTCCTCCTTTTTAAGCCCGAATCGTTTGGCACTCCGAGACAGCTGCTTTCATAGCTTTCTAATTATTTCACCGAAACAATCCAGTGCACAAAGCTTGCCCATGAATACCTCAAGTCCTCTTATCAATTATTCTAGTGTCCATCAAAATGCTATACACTCCCCGTATCTTCTCCCTGCTTTCATTGGGGATTTGTCAGTTCCACACAATACTAATATCCAAAAGTATGCTGAAGATGTCATTTTATGTCACACCAGTTCTGCTTCCTCGTTGTTTTCCTCTTTCACTGTAAATCTGTCCCGAATCGAACAGTTTTCAAAAACCAATCTGACCTTAATCTAAACACATCCAAATGCTTGGAGTGCATTTTTAGTTCTTCCCGCTCCACATTCCCGTTTGACTCTGCAACCGTTTATTGTATTCTTTTGTATAGAGTGAACTTAACCAAATATCTGGATGTTATTATCAATAATGATATTCGGTGGTCAACACACAATCAGAACTTCGGCACCTCTCTTTTCAGCTCAGACAATTTCGAACTGCCCAACAAGTTTTGTTCTCCTTTGTTGAACAATGAGTTCTCCCTATTTTACTTTACTGCTTCCTGTAGTGTTTCCCCCTCTATAGGAACAAAACTTAAAAAACGATCCGTCGTGGATTGATGATAATATGCCGTGTATCTTCAATTTCTTGTGTGACCGTTGGTAATAAGATTCTAAATGACCCCTCGCATTCTTTGCGCTTTGACTTATCTTCTTGTCACTCCGGTTCGATCACTCGTTTGTCTTATCGGTATCTACCCACTGGAATAAACATTTATGAAAACTCCAATCTGCCATATCTGGCTCGAATCTTGACCAACAAGGAACGAGTTGTAATAGAATTATGTCCATCTTTAAGTGAATGAATCAAAATTCAGAGTCATCTTTTTTACACAGAACTCTGATGGATTTGGTAATACTTTTATATTTCCTCCGGTGTGACACCCAGTGCACAATTTTTATTTGAAATGTAAACATATCTCATCTGGCAAAAGTTAGACAAATACAAATGTAAATACAAAATATATACTATAGAACAAGAATTATTCATAGCTATCGAAGTAAATGAGTGAAATGTTAAAAAATGTAATAAAAGTTTCTAATCACAAACTTTCACGCATAGATTTATGCATTTTCAGTTTCCATTCGAACTTTGAATGAATGTCCTACAAAAGACAGTGAGCCCGATCTAGCATCCACAGCGAAAATCAATACTCAAATAGAGTGGATGAACACCCTAATATACAAAATTTCCACTCGCAACCGGTTCTGGACATTCAGACCATGAGGAAATCTTTTAAAGAGTTAAATATGCGGTTTGAAACCAGCGCCCATCTGGTGCTAGATCCAACGATGGTTCAATATTGACTGCACTAAAGTATTCATTTTAATCAATACCGTCCCCGTCGAGTATGAGATTGATTTATGCGTTGGCATGTGAAAAAATCGCATTCTGGTCATACCATTTAATTTGAGATGCGCGGACAAGACGGAGATTTTGCATGACAGCAGGTGATTACAACTTTCCTACAACATGAAAAGCTAATCTCTAGAGTATGGCACGGAATTTAACGAACTTGGAGAAGGACTAGCAGGATAAAAGTCTCCTTTCTTGGTGAATAAAACCTCTTCGTCATGGTCGCTATCGCTGGTTCTGTTCGAGGATTCATCCATGTGTTTATTGTGAAACCCGAATAAGAGGAACACGAGTGAATCAATACAAACCCGCGATGTCTTGCTACGATCTCTTTTGACTGGCAAGCTAGGTTTTTGCTAGTTTCACAGTTGTGAGATGCAAGGATTACAGTGAAGTTAAGCTTCCGTTCAAAGATTGGACGCTGTGTGTTTTAATCTGGTTGAAGACATGTCAGAGAAACTCTTCTACGGTAAGTCGAATAAATAAAAATGTTTTCGCATCCGACATTGTGGAACGATCAGGAACATGTTTGGCTTGTCCTGGGTTTTCAATTGCAAACGAGTAATGGGATACGCACACAAGTGTTAAGATGTTCATGCAACGAACGAAAGCTCAGGCAGTTTCGAGCGTCCCAGTCAGTTATTTCTTTCTTTGTTTATCATTGTGTTTTCCCTCATCTTACTCTACTGTTCCCCAGTTATTTTTCCTGACTTACTCAAACAGGCTTTCAAAGTCTTACGCCGCGGTCTAACCATTATGTGTCTTGTCTCTTCTATTCCTGTGAAGGAGTTAGCTTCAAAGCTTTAAGAGTATCACTTGTGAGCATACTGGGTGAAATTTGCGAAGAGCATTCTCACAGATCCTGGCCACCCGCAGAACTGACATGTTCTCGTTCACATCACTCCACGCGCTTCCAATTCCACAAAATTTCATCTCAAATAAAACGATTAGCGAAATTCACCTATACCTTATCTTGCTTGTCTACTCATAAACAAAGAGCGAACAATATGTGAACGCTTTCTCAACCTTCGATTTTGAAATGTCCCCATGTCCCCATTGTGACGGTTAGCTTGTACGATTGTTTAACGGAAATGTGAGCTCCAGTGCTTGAAAACGTTATTCACAACACAACACAATACAATATCCTGACCGCAAACGGAATCATATAAATCGAACGTTTTGGTAGTAATAAGGGAAGTGATTGGATGTATATTAGATATTAGATTGTATTATTTCAATCAACCTTTGGCGAAGACGACTAGAGAGCAATAAAGCCAATGTGCCAGTACAGTGCGCAAATGGCATAAACAACGTTCTTGACACAAAAAGGGAATTTAGATGAAACGTATAGACGACAAACGATATCCGATATCTGATATCCAGATACGGGGGGTTTTGAAATCCTGTGATACTCAATGGAAAACGGTGCTGTTCGTTGAAAGGGGTTTGTGAGGTAACGAAGGATCGGATAGGCTTAATTTCAGACTGACTGATGAATGCACGTCTGAGAGATTCANNNTGTGTCGTCTGGCGGACTGGATTTTCTGTAACAAGTAGATTAAAGCAATGGGAAAGGAAATGAAAGGGGAGAGATAAAATAGTACCTCTCAACAGGTCTTAGGGGCTCATGGGAATCAGTACCCGTGAAACAAGTTGTCCAACCACACAACACGTGTGACAAAGTGAACAGCTGACTCCGCTTGTTATAAATTCTTAATGCGTCACCATCAGTCCTGAGAAAAACACGTACGAGGACCTTTGCTAAAATGTCAGGTGAAGTGGAAGAACAAAACCGTGTGCCAACCAAGTGTGCTGGTGCAACCAGGTACTGCTCGTCGGATAGCAGATGAACATAATCTGCCGTTTTCCTCAAAAACTGCTGATTTAGGCTAGCATAGAAGCTATTTGTTTAGCTTTCATGACAAAACATAGGATATATGTGAGAGCGTAGAGGACGAGGGAGAGGGAGGATTTACAGGCCATCCTTCCGGGGACACTGGCCCCAGCCTTCCAGGAGTTTTGTTTTTTTGTTCTTCCTTTCTTCCTGTCTTCCTTTCTGAACAACATGGAAAAAGTTCATTTTTTTCACAATATTCTGATGTATTTTTATGGCTTTAAAATAGGGTAGTGCATTGTGCGTACACTATTTGGCCTCCTGTGAAGGGGACTGGGTTTTGGGACTATTTCTGTTCGAGAAGACGAACGTGTGAGCGAATATTAACTTGTCCGCTCACTCTCTGTAGCCGCGCGATTTGGAGTACCAATCA